GAATATCAACACTTTGGTGGGAAATACAGGTAGTCCTTGACTTACAACAGTTCGTTTAGTGACCGTTCAAAGTTACAACAGCATTGAAAAAAGTGGCTTATGACCATTTTTCAAACTTATGACCGTTGTAGCATCCCCATATTCATATAATTTACATTTAGGTGCTTGACAACTGACTCACATTTATGATAGTTGCAGTGTCCTGGAGTCATGTGATCCCCTTCTTGACAAGCAAGAAGGGGGAACCAGATTCACTTAACAACCATGTTACTAACCAAACAACTGCAGGAATGCACTTAACAAATGTGGCAGAAAAGTCGTAAAATGGGGCAAAACCCACTTAACAAATTTCTCACTTAACATTAATTTGGGGCTCAATTGTGGTCGTAGGTTGAGGACTACCTGTAAAACTACTAAAGGAGAAGATATAGACAAGGATAAAAAGGATAAAAAAGAATATGAGTGAGTTGAATTACAAATGTTTTGTTTCACTCTCTTAAAAAAAAGATATTGATAAGAGTAAGATCAGAGATGGCAACGAAGTCTAAGAGAGACAAACATATCAGGAGAGATTGAAGAACTGATTATGTACAGCAGAGTTGGGATATGACCGGTACACCCTGGTACCGGTCCAGTGCTCCGGAGGGCCCATCCGCCCGGTATTTGAGCCGACCGGGGCTTCCACGCATGTGCATAGATGATACAGCACCTGCGTGACTCTCAGCCAAGCAGCTGGAGCATTGTGGGTGGTAAGTACGCATGCGTGCGCTGCGCACGTGCATGTGGTGGACCCCGGCCCTGTTGCACCGTACCGGTTGCAACAGGATCCGGAACCCACCACTGATGTACAGCCTGAAGGACAGGAGAGAAAGTTGGGATATGATTGCAACTTTTAACTCTATTAAGGGTGTGAATAAGGTTCTAGAAGGCAGCATTTAAATATTAAGCAAGAATCAAGAACACGGGGCATAACCTCAAACTGACAGGAGAGAAATTCAAAAGTAATGTTAAAAAAGTGATAGTAGAAGCTTGGAACCAACTTCTAGCAGAGAAAGGTCAATCATCAGTTAGGATAACATGTTTAATTTTATATGATAACACATGTCCAACATCTGACAAAAATTAAATCAATAAAAATAAAATAAAAATGAATAAAAATAATAATAATAATTAAAATTAATAAATGCATAAATTTAAAAGGAAAAAAAACCCTCAATGGACCACTAGATACTACCTGCTAAATATCTGCTGACCTGGGACTGTTCAGGATGAAAGGATTCAACTGAAGTTTATAGGCTTTTTTTTACAATCAGTGGAAGTTTGTCTATTCAACAATGAATGCAATGGTGGCAATCACAGAAAAATGGTCATTTTATAAACGTGAATGGATACCATTCAGAACCATACATGAATGTACATATGAACACATGGCCAGGAAAATGCATCCCTGTAATATGTCATGGACACAAAGAACACACTACAACATAAACTTAAAAGACAAAAACAGTAAATGTGGTTCTTGCAAAACAAGCTCTTTACTTATTAATTCTCTTTTTTTTTTGGCTCCCACAGTTTTTCCCTTTCATTCCTAGATTCTTTTGTCTTTTTATTGATACAATATATATTCAATACAATGGTATGGTGCAATGGGCATCCACCACATGAACGCGCACAGCGTGTGCACACACGCACAGCGTGCGCATGCCTCCTTACCTCTTGTGACGCCTCTGCGAGCTTCCGCAACACTCCAGCTGCTCAGTGGAGCATCGTGCAGGTGCTATGTGCTCCGTGCGTTTGTGCGGAAGGGCCGAAGAGCTCAAATACAGGTAAGGAGTTCAGGTGGGCAGGTGGGCCCTCCAGAGCACTGTACTGGAATGGTACCTGATGCTCCGGGCAGGCATTTATTGCCATATTGATCTAGTGGTTAAAGCACCCGTACATCCGTACGGGGCATCTCGCCTGCAACTCACCCCTTTTATTTCTTAAGGAGATTTATGGGTCAAATGAATACGGTGCCAGAGGTATTACTACCGGTAGAAATACAGTTGATGCTGGACTAGCTATTATCTTTACAGTACACTCTATTCCCATTTTTTGATTATAAGGATTTTTAAAAAATTAAGAAGTCATATGGAGCAGGCTGAGCAGCATATGATAGGTGCCAAGGAAAGTTACCATGGCAGGCCTCACATGGGGAATCTCAATATTACAGTTTTCAGGAGAATATCTAAAATATAGCATTTACTAAGTAATATAGAATTTGTAATTTCAAGATTTTTCTTTATGATAAATACAGTATATGTTCTCTATGTTGCAATAAAGATTTTACAGATTTTGGATTGCATTCAACTTTCATCCATACTTGCTTTGTTTCCCAGATAATCAAATTATTCCAAATCCATGGCTTCTTAATTTTATTGCCATATTGGTCTAGTGGTTAAAGCACCAGGCTAGAAAGCAGGAGACTGTTAGTTCAAGTCTCACCTTACTCACAGAAAGCTAGCTGAATGACCTTGGGCGAGTCACACACTCTCTCTCAGTCCAACCCACCTCACAGGGTTGTTGTGGAGAAAAAAGGAGGAGTATGGTATGTTGGATATGTTCGCCACTTCGAGTTTTTTGTAAAAATAATAAAAGTGGGATATAAATAATCAACTGAATGTGACCTCCAAATGTGCAGCAATTACGTGGACTAATTTATTATAAAAGAGTATTCCTGAAGAAACTTGCTATCCACCCACTCACCCACCCACTAGGAAACTGAAACTTCTTCTTTGCCTGCAAGTGATGCTTTTCTGTTTTTATTTCAGCTCACCAGCTGTATCCTATCAGAAGTTATACAATCTGGATGTATATAGTCAATCTGCACACGTCACAGACTTCTTTGCATAAATTTGCTTTGCACAGAAAGTAGCTGTTTAGTCTACAATAGTCTGTGTTTTGTCCATTCCTTCTGTATCATCCATATAACTATCTTTTCTCTGTGTTTAATTCTTATCTGCTCATGTTGAATAGTAATCATGGGGCTCTTCATAATTTAAGTCACTTGTCTTTCCAAATCTAATTTATGGGCAGAATATAAATGCTTGGGTGGAATTCATGATGGTTGAAACCTCAACTTGAATTTAAGGAATTCAACTTACCTGACAACATATTAAGACAGCAGCTATTGTTAGTAGTCTAAATAGGTACGGTACTACAGTAGTGAGTATTGCACCCTTCCCCCAAAGACTCTAATGTTTGATAAGAAGAGTCAAAGATGCAAAAACATAAATCGTACCTTGTTAAAATTTCTGGTCAAGGTTTCACCTTATTCTTGTTTAACAATGACCTATTTCTAGATTTGCTGAATAAGAGAAGTAATGCAGACTAAATTCAGCCTTTCTTAATTGAATTGGGGGCCAGAAATGCAGCTTAGGCAATAAAGGCTTGAGGTGAGTTTGCTTGACTCAAAAGCTGCCTTTGAAGTAAAAAGTGGTTTTTCACATCAGTGCTCTAGGAAAAGTGTGACAAGATTTTCCATTGGATACTTTTTAAAAAAAAAATTAAGATTTTTCTTAAAGAAGCCAGCCGTCAAGAGCACTAATTCAAGAAATCTGGCCAAAGACAGATCCATAATAAGCCCATGAAAGCTGAATGAATATGCGCTCACATGTTTGCAAAAATCAGTTAGCTGTAGCAGCAATTATCACAATTCATTTATTAAATTTTTATGCCACCTATCACTAATACAGTGACTCTGGGCAATTTACAATATGATAGGAATGCTGGAAAGATTTTAGCAACCAAGTCATATGGCAGCTTTAAGTTCAACAGATTTTAGGAGCTAAAGCTTAGTCAATCCAAACAAGTGATTTCTTGTCTGTGAAAGCTTATGATATTATGTATTTATTAGCCTTTGAATTACCATGGGACTGCTGTTTTTCCCCCAAAATATACTCTGTTATTCTTAAAAAAACTTGTCATCTTTTTCAAGATCAAGTGAGCACCCTATCTGGTTTGCATGCAGTATCTTATTAGCAATGGCAATAGTATGGAAGCAATTCCTGTTGAGAGTCTAACTTATTCAAATTTCAGGATGAGACTCTGCAGTCAGCTGGTCTACAGCTGAATATACTGCTAATGTAACTCTGATATTATGAATACCTTGCTATTATCACCAATTATAAGGTTGTTTTTAAAGTGTATGTGGATTTCCCAGCAACTGGCTACACGATTAACAACCAATTAAGTGCAACTAGCTCTCCAGCAGAATGTGATTTTGTTTTGAAAGCTATGGGAATTACTCAGCCAAGTTCTATTGTAAGCTTAAGGTTTAGTTATAATCATTTACAACAAGCATTTAAGAATGATACCTATACCTAATTACCTGAAAGAATTTTCCACAATAATAAGTCTGAGTAGACACAAAACCAGCTTTAAGGAAAGCTTTAAGGAAAATATTCTCAACTTTTCTTATTTTTAAATGTGAATCCTAGTAATTTATGTATATACAATTTATATATTTGAAAAAAAAAACAATAAAAATTATGTCACAAGTATCTATTTTACTTTGTCATTTTAATGAGTATATTTATCAAGAGTAAAAGATGTGTTCCATATGCCCCGTAAGGAAATAAATAAATATATTTTCAAAGTGAAAAACACTAACACTTTAAGCAAAAGGAAATCAAATGCATCTCCTTTTTCTACTACAGTATGTGGTGTGGTCAGTGCAATTTTTCTTTTATAAATTAAACTTTTGAAACTCTACATCTAATTATTCATCCCAAGGAAATGAAGAGTCAGTTGCTTTATTTTAAGTCATAAAATATTCTAACAAACAACAATACCAAAATACTATAAAGCGTCATCACGTTACTGTCACGTATCGTGACTTTCCTCCCCTTTGCTAAAACGGGGGTGGGCATGGCAGTGCGTGACACATATGGTCTGTGGCAGTGATGGGATTCAAATAATTTAACAACCGGTTCTCTGCTCTAATGATTTCTTCCAACAACCAGTTCACCAAACTGCTCAGAAAGTTAACAACCNTCAGCTATTAAATTATCATTCCCTGACAGTCTGGACTCTGGAACTCTTTCAGCTAAACTGTTCCTTCTCAATGCTTGAATTCTTACATACTGGGAAAGGCACAATTATTGGACTTTACTGTTCTCACTAAGCTAAATACTAAACCTCATCAGTTACATAGCTAGTCCTTGCTTGTATTTATTGCATTTTGTGATAATTTGTTATTATTTGAAAGTTGCATTGATGTATATATGTCTATGCTTAAATAAGCATATATGGTAGAAACCATTGTGAGAGGACAACACTCTAAAAGGAAGTCCAGAAATATTTTTAAACAAATGAAACAGAGAGAAGTGACTTGACGTTATAGAACATATACTTTCACTTTCACTTCTATGCCTTTTTTTCGGGTGTTTCTACATAATATCATCATAAATTAAGCTTCATCGGTTGATGAAAATGCGCAAAAGAAGGAGGAATTTATCTAAGTACATAAAAGTTGTTCTTACTCTTGCAATTATATGTGGATCGTTGCACTTCGCCAGTTTTCCAGCAAAAAGTTGAACTCCAAAGCTTGCAAAAACAAGCATTAATGTCAATAAAAGGATTGAAACCTGAAAAAAAAACCATGAAAAGGAGTCAAACCTTTTCCAGTTGCACCTGTATTTTTCTCTTACATTTTGTATAACAACAATAGCTACGCAATGACTTTCATTAGAGGACTGCAAGGAAGGAGAACAGCAGGGGTGGGATTCAGCTGATTCAAGCGAACCGTTAGGTCTGGTGATCAGTTGGCCCTGCTCTATTCCATTCTATATTTCCTTTGTTTGAAGCCCAGCTGATTGGCGCAGCAGAGCGGATTGCCGTGTCTCAGCTGTTTTACTCACTGGGGCTGCAGGAAAAGGTAAGATTTAGTGCTGATTTCAAATGCAAAACGCACACGAAGCAAAGTGGTTGTTACACTGACTGAATCCCACCATGGGTTACTATAATGGTGTTTTTAGGATGGCAGCTAAGTGGTTTCTTTTGCACTTTTTCTCATCCTTCTTTTCATATGCACTAGGAAGTAAGCTTACTGTAATCAAATTTACTCCCTATCCTGTTCAAATAACAAACTACTTGTTATATACGTCATGAATTCATACAATCTTTTCTTCGAGCATGTGCACAACCAAAAATGTCCTAGTCTGCCAGCCATAGGAATCAAATTCTTTAAAAGCAACCCATATGCTTACATGAAACCATCTCACCCATGCATAGCAAAGTGCAAAGTTTACTTTTAACACTTGCTAAAATTTGGTATTCAGAACTTGGGAAAACATGGACACATCCTGATGTGTCCCTCAATGAAATAGAGTTTGATACCCCTGATTTAGAGGAAATTACAAGAGACAAGAACTCAAGAGATTAATTCGTTAAATGTATTTGGAGAGCTCTTATGAAATATATGTTTTGATGGTTTCCTTTGGTAAAAATATGCATTTGGAAAGAGAAACCATACGTAGTACTCACTAGAAAGATTTCTTTGAAGCCACTAAATAGTTCCCGAACAACTTTTCTCATCTGGGGCACCAGTTTAAAAATCCGAAGGGGGCGAAGACACCGTAGAACCATTAGCAGTTGAGCTCCTGATTTAGCAGGAACATTTTGGGGCATCCAGCATAGAAATATCAGGCTTACCTTTGGAAAGGGGGAAAATAACCT